TCCTTTCTTTTTTCTTTTCTTTTCTTTCCTTTCCTTTTCTTTTCTTTTTGTATAAGGTTGTTTCTTCCCTTCCACCCCCAGATCCATAGAAAATCCATGGTCTGAAGGAACGCCACAGTTCCCTTTCCCAGTTTTGGAATGTGATTTCCAAAAAGATGGCTTTCAGAGGAGATTGCCTGGCCTAGACGGGGATATATAAATATCCTTCAGGGATGCTGGGTGAACACAGAGTCAGGCTGAGTCAGGAGAGGTTTAGGAAAGCAGACAGGACTTCCTCACTGTGGAATTGCTCAACTAGTTTATAGAGGGGAAATAAAGTTCCCTTTCTGATGGATTCTGAAATGGAATAAAAAACCCAAGCTGCCAAGAAAGGCAAAGAGGTCACCCTCCATGAAGAAGGAGAATGGGCTAAGAAAGGACTCACTGAACCAAACAGGGAGCCTAGTAGAGAACCCCTAGGAGTTCCTTGATTACGCTATAGGAATACTTTTCCTCCAACAAGTCCCAGATTGACAGTCACCAAACACATGACCCGAAGTTCTCAAGCTTGTACACTCTCCAGGCCTGGAAAGACACAGAAATCACTGCCTAACTAACTTCTCTGAAGTTCCAATCACACTGGCTTGCTGGAGCCTCCCAGTCTCTGAATTCATACCCCCGGCTGAGAGCAGGGACAGGCATTTCTAGAGGGCTTAGCCCTACCCCTGTCTCTACCTACTTCCTCCAGACAGCCTCTCCTGGGAGAGCAGGTGGTACAGATGCAGTCCTGTGGCCTTGGGTCTCAGGTGCCATCTGTACCTGCCAGTGGTAAGCTGACGCTAGGGCCAGCTCAAAGCTGTTTGCACTCATCTCCGACTGCCGGCGGCACCATGAGTCAGGACAGAGTGTGTCCTCCACGGTGGGGTTTGGGAAAGGAATACAGGTGCTACCGGGGGTGTTCAGCCCGGCGAGCACCCAATGACTCTGTGGAATGCCCACGGCACCTGAAAAGGGAGGTCACACAAAGTCAGTGATGAAAGGCCATTAGGGGTTTTCATTCTTCCCATAGGATCTGCTCTTCCTTGTGGGGTCCACAGGAGGGTCTCAGCTTCTTTGTACCTAGAGACATAATCAAGAACTGAGGGCGATGTCCAGCTTAGGCTGCATGCTAGTGAGTGTAGCTACAAGTGAAGCCCAGTATTATAAATTCTTTTTGTGAGTGTTTAAGGTTCTGGGGGTTACCGTTGTAAATGCTATCTGGCTACAATATCAACAGGCTGAGCAATCCAATTATGGGAGAGTGATGGGGTGGCCAAGTAAGATGTGTAATCTATGATGTCATTTCACTGAATTTCTGTGTAGCCACAGAGGAGGTCAATATAAAGACAAATGCCGTCGGTTAACTCCTACCAGGGGGTGGTCGAGAGAGTAAGTTAGTTACCAGTGGGCTGTGTGTCCACATGCAGTTACAATCACATGCAGCTCAAGCACATGCAGCTCAAGCACATTGTGAGCTGCAGGATGAACAGGAGATGCCGCACCCAAAAACGGCCATAAGGGAAGTAGTTACAGCAAATGGGCAATTTCTTTCTTGATTTTTCTATGACTTTCCCCTCTTCTTTTTCTTTTTTTTCCTACTTCTTTATTTTCCTCTCCTTCTCTCCTTCTTTCTTCTTTCACATAAAGTCTCCCTATGTAGTCCAGAATGGTGACAAACTTGTAATTTTCTGCCCACCTGCCTCAGTCTCAGTATCCCTAGCTACACAATGGGTGGATGATGAGCCCCATCTGGGACCGTCGATGTTCATATCCATCAGGAAGAAACCGTTTTTGCAGAAAAAACTAAGTCTAATTACCTGGGAGAAGTATGACATTAAAGGATAAAATCTTTGTCATAAAAGACATATAAACATATAGAAGCCAAAGTTTTTTTAAAAAGCAAGATTAATATTTATATAAAATAACTAGTCATGGTTCTAAGTTTCGGGTAGGAGGTAACTTTTTTTCTTTTCCTTATGAAATCATTTTCATAAGTTTGCTGCAAAGACTATGTCTATATTTAGAATTCAAAGATAGTTCATAGACAGACAGGAGGTTGGATGAATAGGTGTGTGTGCACAGATGAGAGAATGCAAGAAATAAAGAGAGAAAGAAGGAAGACATGAAGGAAGAGAGAAATGGGAAATAAAAGAAAAGATAGATAGATAGATAGATAGATAGATAGATAGATAGATAGATGATAGATAGATAGACAGATAGATGATAGTAAATAGATGACAGATAGATAGATAGAGAGAGATAGAGAGATAGAGAGATAGAGAGATAGAGAGATAGAGAGATAGAGAGATAGAGAGATAGAGAGATAGAGAGATAGATAGATAGATAGATAGATAGATAGATAGATAGATAGAAGATAGGAGATAGATGATAGATAGGTGTTGTATTAGCTACTTTTTGCCAACTAGACACAAACTAGAATTACTTGGGATGAGGTAACTTCAATTGAGGAATTGCCTGTAGGTGTTCTCTCAGTTAGTAATTGATTTGGGAGGGCCAAGTCCATTGTGGGTGGTCCTGGGGGGATATGAAGAAAGCAAACTAAGCAAGTCCTGGGGAGCAATCCAAGAAATGGCCCTCCTCCATGGCTTCTGCTTCAGTTCCTGCCTCCAGGTTCCTGCTCTGATGGACTGCAATATAGAAGTATAAGCCAAATAAACCCTCCACCATGTCCCCTAGTTGATTTTGGTCAGTGTTTCATTAAAGCTACACAGAAGCAAATAAAACAGGGTGTGTGTCTCCTTTCTCCCTTCTCCCTCCCCTTTTCACTGGGAAGAGAGCATGAACACTATTTATTCAAAGAGGAAGGCTTATACCCTATCTCCAACCTGTTTCTTCAGCCTACACTGCAGCAGATGCAAGCCAACCCCTCCTGAGCCACATGTAACGAGGGGCATATACCCACAGGCTCTAGGATCATGGTTCCGAGGAGGATGGGCCTGGAAAGATGTGGTCTTCCATCCCTACTCAACCCAAGTAGGATTCTTGAACCTACTCTGTGTCTGGCAATGCAGGGCTCACAGTTCGATTGAATCCACTGCTGCCCAGTCACTGTAGATTACAGGGTTCATGGGAGAATAAGGACCTGCCACTTGGACACTGTGTGAGGTATCACTAGACAGGTGATGACATTAGGGTCTCCAGGGCAGGTACTGGCATGGATAAACATGGGTAAATGGGAAAGAAGAATGTTCTCAGGGAAGAGCAGCAGGATGCACCGGATAAAGGAAGAAGCTAAGAGAGAAACTTCTGGAAAGACGAGCATCAGCCATGGGGGAGCTCACATTAGGGCTGAGCAGGTATTACAGACCTGAAGTTTGTATAGTTGGCAGGAGATAGAGTCGGGGGAGAGGATCTCTTAAAGGAAAGAAAATGAAAACAATCTGTTAAAATAGAGACTGCCCTGAACATACACAAGTGAGAATTGGAATACGGGGCTCCTCAGTCACAAAGTGACTCTCCTTTGGTGCTCACTGTTAAAGGCACAGGAACAAAGATTTTAAGGCAAAAGTGACCCAGGGACAATAACGTTTTAGAAAAACAACTTGTCACCGTGTATTGTCTTTCCAAGAGATATGACCTCAATCCCATGCCCTGGGTACCACAGGCAGGGTGTACAGGTAACCGGCACTCACAGAGACCCTGTTTTCCAGGATGTCCCAGTGAGAGTTGAGAACTGTCCTGACTGCTTCTTGCATCTCAAGAACAGGGACAGTATACCCATACTGTGCTCTACAATGATACATCCCCATTTGGCATGTATTGACCAGATACTGCCGGAGTCCAGAGCTCAGTGGAGCCAATGATACTCCCTCAGCATAGCCCTGTTCACTCCAATTGGCCAGGTGCAATGACAAAGCAGAGAACAACATGGCTCTCGGGGTCATCTCAGCCAGGCCCCAGCACTTCTTTCTTCTTCTCTGGACGGAGATGCCCATGGATTGAGGAGCCATTGCTATGTCCCCGTGTAACACAGAAAGCAAAACCAGGGAGGCTAAAGAAGAAGAATTTCCACAGATTCAAGGACAGTTTGAGACCGGGTCGGTCTGAGTCACAACATGAGACTGAATCTCAGAAACCAAAATCAAAACCAAAGAGCAGCACTAGGACCCTAGCCACGAATGCTGCCCACAAGTGTGTCTCATGGGTGTTGAAGCCAACACCCTAGGATGCTGGTGAGCCCTATGCCATCTCCCACTCTGGACCTTAGTGTTCCTGACTGTGTAATGGGGGTGGGAATGATGAGCCACGCCTGAAACTGTGGAGGAGAAACAGCTCTGAAACCTTCTGCAATGCTCTCTACATCTATGAAGTGCTAGTAAAATAACGACTGTAGGTTATAATCACACAGAAGGATGAGTAGAGGCCCAAGCGGGACCTCCCAAGGCCCAGTCCTTGGCCCCTACAGGCTTGGGAAGGTGCATGGCTACCTTTGACTTGAAAAAATCACTTCTCTCCACAGGGAGAGGTCAGTAGGAGGCCCTACATGGGGACTGAGCAGTGCTATTTTTGGACTGGGGTATAACCTGGAGTGCCCCGATTCCCAGACTGTTCATCTGCCTCCCCCTACAGCCTGCTGTCCAATCCAGAGGGTCACTGCCTACCACCATACGCTCAGGGAAGGGGGGGGGGGCGGGCAAGGTGGACATCTACCTATGCTCGGGCAGCCTGTGGTTTCTCCTAGTCCACTGCACAGGCATGGGAAAACTCTTCATGTGGGCTGCGGTGGCTTTCCTTTTCCACTGCCAAAGAGAACAGCATCGTCCTTCCCAATGTGTGGAATTGGAGTTTATCTTTTTGGCATGATTCATAAAACCTTTAAAACCCTATACACAAAAACTTCCTAAACTAAAAAAACGTGATGCAGAAAACAACTTGAACAATATTGCAGGTAGCACTGGACGCAATATCTATGTCTAACATGAAAACGGATTTTTTCAAAACTAACTCAAGGGATTGAATAGTCAAGGTACAAAAACATTTATTTAAATTAAACATTTTTGACAAATCAATATTCATAACTGTTCCATGCATATGTAGTTTTCTTGAAAAATAGAACAGGGTAGCTTAATGTCTGTGATACTGCTTTACAAGATTATTAATGCACATTGAGACTGGGCACCAGTCGATCATATCATCAGCTATTCACTATTTATCACCACATGGTATATACAGCAATAACATAAAGATTAAGTATATCTTATAAGTGATTTTATAATAAGACTTCTGGGAGGGGGGATCCGTCAACAATACAAAGTATAAGATGGAGATAAACAGTAGAATATAAAAACACATTCATAAAGGTAATAATACACACGTGTTCAAGGACAGACAAGAGTCCGTTAGCTCAGTGTTAGGTGTGTTCCTTCAAAGGAGGCTTAGGGGATGGAAATGTCCAGGGTGGGATCAGAGCTCAGAAACATCTTTGGATGTCACAGTGTGTTTGTTTGGGACCACCAAAGGATGGTGGGGCAGGGGAACTGCCCAGATACATCCACTTGAAGAGCAAGAACTGAGTTTCCCTCACAGCCAGGGGACGCATGCCTGGGATTTCAAGTCAGGGGTCCTTTGAATTGGGGGTCAGTTTGAAGTAGAGGGCGAGTAACAGAGAGGAGAAGAAAAACCTCCAGGAAAGCATGAGGAGCAGCGGACGGCGGAGGGGAGTCTCCGTTGCATCTACAGACAGGGCCGTGCGACTTTGCTAGAGAGATCAGCACAGCCGGATGCTGCTGCTTTGTGAACAGTGTTTTTAGCTTCTTAGCTTGTTGGGTCATTCAGCAGGGAGGTGGTGAGACAATGTTACAGTTGAGAAGACTCTAAATCAGACTACACACCCTGGGGGGCGGGGCAGGCCTGCATAAGGGCATCTCTTTCACACTGTAGTCTCCCGGAGTGTACATAACAAAAATAAAAAATGAATCTAGAGTATATATTAAAAACGAAACAAAAAAGCAAGCAAACAAACAGCAATAACAACAACAACAAAAAAAACTTCAAGTCTGGGTGTGGTGGCACTCGCCTTTAATTCTAGCACTCAGGAGGCAGAGGCAGGCTTTGAGTTTGAGGCCAGCCTGGTCTACAAAGGGAATTCCAAGACAGCCAAGGCTACACAGAGAAACCCTGTCTCAGGAGAGAAAAAAAAAAAAACAACTTTGAATCTGATTTTGCTTTCAGTGATACAGTTGAACATACTCATTAGTTTCCTGAACCAGGGTGTATGTTTTCTTTTTTAAAAAATTTTGTTTAGTGTTTGTGAGAATGTGTGTGAGCATGCTCGAGCACACATATATTTGGGGACACATATGTTGGGGCGTGCACATGGAGGTCAGAGTACAACTTCAGGAGTCAGTTCTCCCCTCCCACCATGCAGGTTCCAGGGACAGAATGTCGGTCATCACGCTTGGCAGCCGGCACTTTCACACACCGAGCCATCCCGAGCCATCTTGTCCACCCAAGGGTAAGTGTTTTCCTCAATTGGAGGAGTTCCTTTGGAATTCCAGGGTGACTGTGGACCAGGAAACAGGAAAGCAGAAAACCTGGACCCTTGGGCAGTACACATGAAGTCCCCATGAGTCTGCCCATTCCTGGGCTCACACTCTCCTTGCCCTTGAGAGGACCATAACTCAGGAATCCATAGAGCAGGGGCTTGGCTATCAAGCCAACCCTCACTTTACAGGAGAGAACAGTTAAGGCTAGTCAAGCCAGAATGGGGTTTTGCCAGTTAGAGCCTGAACTGAGATGGACCCCAGACCCAGGGTCCTTCTCACTGGGAGCACCACGGATTAGAGGCAGGAACTCCAATGCACTGGGCTTCCCACCATCAGCTACACTGATGGCAGCAGATAGAAGACTGGCCAGGAAGTCCCGCTGCATTAGCTCCTCGAGGCGGTGCTTCTGGGGTGAAGCCAACGGAACACATTTGAAGGGACAGAGGGGGCGCTGGATCCTGGCTTTCCACCGAAGGTTCTGGGACAGCAGTTCTGACCTCCTGCCACCATGAGATGGTGACATTACAGTTTCTGCTCTGTTCAGTGTTTTAGACCGAGGAGAGGACGGCAGGGCTGGGCCAGGCTCCATGCCTCCGGCTCTATGACACGCTGTAGCTGTTGTAGTATGTGGCCGTGGCATCAGCCAGGACGGATATGAGACTGGTCTCTGCGGGGCCTGTTGCGGTCCCCTGGGAGAGTGGGCCATGTCCACTCAGGGTCCCAGCCCCTGCAGCAGAATCGGGGTGGCCAGGAGTGTTCAAATACTGATCAAATTCATTGCGATCCATGTCTCCCAGAAGTTCCACCTGGCTTAGTTGATCCAGGGTGTCGAAGCCAGGGTGCTCAGGAGGTGGGGAGAGCTGGCCCAGGTGGGCCTGGAGGTTGGGATGAAGAGGGTGGTAGGTGGCAGGGGAATAGTAGGCTGGAGATGGGGGACAACCGGGAACAGAGGACATCATAGAAACCCCTGGGGACTGGCCAAGAGCCAAAGATCCTAGAGGGTGGCTGCAGTGGAGGGGACTAGGCGTGAACTCTGGCGAGTAAGGGGGCCCTGGGAGGTGAGGGAGGCGATGGGGGTGGCCATGTTCCTCCTGGCATGAGGATGAGAAGAAGGTCTGCTCAGGCTCCAGCGCGTCCAGGGGCGACATCTCTGGGGGTGTGGGTAGCCCATAGGGATATGTGTCCACACTGCCAGGGGCACCAGCCGCACCTTCATGGTAACAGCTGTGTAGTCCAGGCAGGGCAGTGCCTGGGGAGTACTCACCCCTGTCCTCCTTCTCCCCCAGTGTACCCCTGCCAACGCCGTTTTTCTCAGGCAGCGCGTTCTGGTCACGAGAGAGGGAGCTCAGGAGGAAGCCAGGGTCCACACGTTTGCAGAGGCGCTTGCCTTGTTTCTTTCTGCGGGGTCGGTACTTGTAGTTGGGATAATCCTGCATGTGCTGTAGGCGCAATCGCTCTGCCTCATCCACATAGGGCCTCTTTTGCGACAGCGTCAGCGCCTTCCACGACTTTCCTGATCACACAAACCAGAGAAGGGCATGCTCAGACTGACTCGAAAGGGCTGGCTCAGCCTTTACACCTGCGTCAGCCTCATGCCTCTTTGCGTTCCATGCGCCAACACCTCTGTCCCCCTACTCCACCCAAAGGAACCTTCTCACAGCCACCAGGGACACCATCTGCTTCTATTCTCTTTCCTTCCCAGATCCCACACAGAGAGAAGGGGCTGAATCACCCCGGCCTGTTTGCATTGCACAAAGTTAGCTTTTCTCACAGAGAAAGTGCTTAAAAACCACCAGCTCGCCCGAAACCGCCAGATGGCCCAGCCATTCCAAACTGCGAGAGTCTCACCTGACCCAATCATTAGCAACAGAAAAAAAAAAATCTAAGGGCCATAATATTGGCTGCAGTTCTTCCTTTCCTTTAAGGGTCAGTCCCATGCTTTTGTGCATTTTAATGGAAGTTTTCTGCTGCTAATGAAGTGACAGTGTGCTGTAAATTTACTTATGTATGACTCTCATAGCCTTTACTGATGTAGCCCAGCCTAGGCAACTATATCATCCAGAAGTTGATTTAAGAATCTCAGTAAGGCTCACAAATAACTGTTCCTCGCCTCTGAAGGTCAAATAGACTCTACTATGTAAAGATATAGGTATGGCTTGAAAGCTAACATTCACACACAGAGAGACACATGCACGTGCACACACACACACACACACACACACACATGATACCACTTTCCCTCATGGAATTAGGACCTTTTGGACATATCAGAGCACTTGCTTAGCCACAGCTCCTCACAGAAGCAAATTGTTAACTTCCCTGGGTCTCTGTCTTCCTTATATAGCACATGCTTCTTTCAATTCAAGGATTTCTCTTTTGGAAGCATCCTCGCCGTGTAACCCCATTGGTGCTAAAATGCTGTTTGTGCTTGATTTTTCATTCGTCATTCTCTACCTATTTGCTGCCTTGCAAGCCACTTTGGCATCCCTCTTCCAGCTTTCAGTGGGCATCGTGCAGCCCTGCTCCGGGGATTTGCAAGGATCACATCTAGACTGTTTAAACTGTTCCTTCCCATGGTGGGCTTCTACAAATTTCACATGCTTCCCCTTGACTCTAAAGCACCTTGAAGTTCAGACCCTCTAGTCAAGATGACAAAGCATCAGGCCATGTAAGTCCTGTAAAGAAAGAGACCATATCTTGCCAATGGGCACAATATATAGTGGCTAAGCACAGGGTTATGCATGCCCTGCCCTTGTCCCCAACAGTCCTCTGTCTCTACCCTCATCCCCCACTGGCTGGTTTCATGGATCAGGATATTATAGGAACCGAGGGCTCAAAGGCAGAAGTCATCACTATTTGCCAGTTGTTGTAATTAGCTGTCACTTAGAGCTATGGCTTGAAGAGTGTTCCCAGCACCAGATGTGGAGATGACGCTAGTTGTCAGCCTGTGGCTGAGGCCACCAAGCTCTTGCAAGAAGTCCAGGATGCAGACACACTCCACTCTCTATCCATGGTCTGAATATAAAATATGCCTCTAGTTTCCAAATGCACCCAAATGTGATATAGTATTAATAAAATACAATTTCCATTATTAAATCCTAACAGATGTCTAATTTGTGATACAGCTTCTCATTCATAATACACTAGACATACTTCACTTAATGTATTCATGATATACCCAAATATTTCCCTTTCACGTGTGTTAAAGATCCTCTACCTAGGTAGGTCCTAAGGTTAAAGTTGGGGAAGTTTATAGTAGCAAAAGTTGGGAGTCTCTTATCTAGGCCTTCCTCCCCTCTCATAGGCCAGAGAGGGAAAAAAATCATTCAGGAAGAAAGACCATATGGGGTGGCTGCAGCTACCAATGTTAGCAGGTACAGTATCTCTATTTCCACCAGCAATGGATACCTGCTGTTTTCTACTCCCCTTAGTCGGGCTGAAGTGCTAAGGAGTAGGGGAGAGTATCTCTGCAAGACTGTACACTTCTGCAGCCTGGGGCTCTATTCCGGAGAGAATTAGCCTGCAGGGAGATATGGGCCCCACATCTGTACCTGCCCTCGCCCCCCAAAACAGGCAGTCTAGATTCTTCTGCAGGCGCCCCACCCTTCTTCTCTCCTCCTACCAGGGCCTGCCACAGAAACCTGGCCAAAAATGGGACCATTCCTTCCTCGGTTAGGACTGATCAACAGGGTGATGAGGGTAAAATTAGGAATTTATATGAAAAAAGCTGGCATTTCTTTAAAATAAAATCTCTTAAGTTCTCAAGAAAACAATATAAGCTTTCAGGACAAAGAAAAATAGTGATGCAGATATTAGTCTATTTCTTGTTACACCAATAGAATACAAAATATACAGGAATGGAGGAAGGAGCCTCCAAGCCAATGTTCACCAATACAGGCTAGGCACCGCTGGCCACAAGAGGTGCATAGAACCCCAAAACTCTCACCAACTGCTTTCAGGGGCTCCAGACAGCCAGCAGGCTGGGCCCTCTTTCAAGGCCCAGGCCTTTTGCCAGCAGAAAGTCAGCCGTGTCTGTGTGACTCTGAGAGAGGAAGGAGCCCAGGCTCCTACGGAAAAGGGAAGGGCTTCAACCCAGCAGCGGGTGGGGTCCAGGGGCCTGCATGTCTCTCCTGGCCAGTCTGGTGCCCTCTGTAAACACAAAATGTTTTGAAGGGATTTCATTGGTTAAAATAAGTAAAAACCACGTTGAAGGGTAAAGAGGTTTGAAGTAAGGTGAGGCTGAAAAACGGTTGGCTTCAAGACCCGTGAGGCGGCCCAGTAGGTAAAAAGGCATTTATTTGCCATCAAGCCTGAAGATTTGAATGTTTGATTCCTGAAACCCACATGGTAGAAAGAAGGAACCTACTCCCCACCTGAAAGTGTCTTCTGAACTCCCCCACTCGCTGTGGCACACTCACGCGTACATATATACCCATGAACACAAACGCGTATATAACATGTGTGTGACACATACAGACACACAGACATACAGACACACAGACACACACACAGACACACACACACACACACACACACACACCGCTCCGGGTATTAGAGAGAAAAGAAACTCCTACAGAAACTCAGATTTCTAAGAGTCATTTTAGCATTTCACCCCTGGCCTGTCTGGTCTCAGTTCGGATTATCTGCGGATGGCGCCATAGTTGTAAACACGAAGCAGGCAATGGGGGGTCTACAGACCCTCCCTAGTTGCTCCAAGCGTCTTTTCAAGTTATCTACACTTCTATGATAAATAGATAAGTGAATCGAGTCTATTCAGGTGGACGTCTTTTGTTGCTGCCTTTTCTTTTCTCCCTGTTAAATAATTAAAAATAGGGATTCTTCCGGGGGAGGCTTCGATTGACGTACATTCGTTATCATCTTATCCGTGTGACACTCTCTCTGTTTGTCCCAGCCATACAACGTGGGAGAAATGATGGAGTCTCCAGCTTCAGTCTCCCAGCAAACGCCAGTTCCACCTATGCTAAATGTAACCTCCCAGCTGAGTCCCTGAGCCCGAGTTCCCGTCCTCTGTACCCGATGTCGGTACCCGGGTCGCGCTCGCCGCTGAGGCCCGGGTTTCTGCTTCAAATCCCAAAAAGGAGCCAGTCCAGAAACCCGCCCTGGTCCTAAGGTTTCACCGTGAGCAACTCGGGCCCGGATGGTGTCCTTGCTCCGATTCTCCCCTCCCCCGCCACCTGCGAACAGCGCTGTCATCCGCGCGGTTCCCACACCACTTTCGCGTCCCGCACACTTACCCAGCATCTTGCTGAGCTCCGCGTTGTGCAGGTCTGGGTTCTGCACGGCCAGGCGTTTCCTCTCGTCCTTGGCCCACACCATGAAGGCATTCATGGGCCGCCGGATCCGGCTCTCCGAACCCTTTTCCCCTGGAGGTCGGGGGACGGCGGGCGGCGACAGTCCATCCGACAGCTCGGTTTCCAGGGCGGGACACTCCAGTCCTTCGGTCCACGGGTAGGTTCCCAGTAGCGAGGCCATGGCCGAACGTGGGGACACTTGGCTTCGCCTCGTGGGGCCGGCGATGACCTGGCCCTCACTCAGGTCGCGACGTCCAACTTGGCCCGAAGCCGCGGGCCGGGCCCTTATTTATCAGCTTCGGGCCACCGGGTCCTCCAATGACTCTCAGGGGCGGCGCGGCCCCTCCCGGCTGCCCCGCCGCGGCGTCCCCTCTGCGACCTGCCGGCAGGGGGAGGGAGGGGCCGGGCCTGTCCCGGTGCCCGCCCCTGTACTCCTCTCCGCCTCCAGAGCCCGTCCCGGATCAGCGGATCAGCGCTCGGGTGCAGGTGCTGCAGGGCCACAGGGGAGAGTGTGCAGGGCACTCAGTGTCCCCAGCGTGGCGCGGGAGTCAAGTCCAGCCCCCTGTTCCGCTGGTCTGGCTACCCTCCGCCCAGGGACCAGACTCTACCAAACTCCCACAAGGGAAAACTGAACTCAAACAGCTTTCGCAGGGATACACTGACCATCAATATACCTAGATCGGCCAAGAAGCTATTGTGGACGGGACACACCTATGACTTCGGTCATCTCGTTCCAGCCAACGTGGGTGGCCACCAGGGATGGTCTTAGGCCTATGTGGAATTTATCTACCTGGACGTCGGGTTCTGCTCAGTGCCCTTCCCAAACTGACACTCTGGGTCTCTGGAGGAGAGTCAGTCTTGGTTTTCTGCCATCCGATTTTCCTCTTCCTTTCTTTGCCACTCTGCCTGGCCGCCGCCTCCCCGCAGTCCCAGTCTGCGGTTCCCTTGCTAGTAGCTGTTTCGCGGAATTCTTTTCTGGAGTTTTCCTCTAGTCCAGAGAAGTCGCTTTTACGCTCCTAGGTCCCCCAACGACTTCTTTGCAATCCACGGGCCTCCTTGGCTTCCCGCATCCTGATACTTCAGGTTAAAAGGGCTGTGGCCTGGGAACTAGAGACCGTCTCCCCCCTGATGCGTACTGCAACTGCTTCTGCTGTTACACCAGCGACCGCACACAGTAGGCACTCAAGAACTGCCGAATAAATGAATGAATGAGCCAGTATGGTTTAGACACACCCCACTGTAGAAACCACAGCAGGCGGGACTAGATCCCGGAATTAGACCCACAAATATTTATGGCACGCCACCCCATGTGGTGGCTCCGCAGAGGCGACCTTCGAAGTAGGCAAGATCCCAGCGGAAGACCGTGGGGCTGGGTGCTAGAGTCTGCCTCGAATTTCTGAAGGCGTGACAGCAAGTCCGGTATCTCCCAAGACCTTTTCTAATCGTAAAACCAGCCGATAAGGCTGACCTCACAGGCGGTGATGAGGTAAATGTAGTGAACTCCGGCTGTGTAATCTTTGATGGAGATACCATTCTAGACCTAAATTCCAACGCGCGGTGACTGAATTCACCGATGGCCTCGCTTGCAACGTGCGAGCCGGCCAGGGCTGAGAAGCAAGCTGCAAGTGTCCAGAGAACTGCAACTTCTCCGAGTTTAAGACCTAATTTTACCTTCCAGGGCCCCAGATAAAATTCATCAGGGCAAGTGCTTTCGGCATAAAACAGATTGGCATTTTCCATCTCCCCCCGCCAGGGCCAGGATCCAGAAACAGTGTTCTAAGGGTGGTGTCCCTTAAAACCGGGGATTGCTCTCCCACTCCCTCCCACCCCCGCTACTGTGCAAAGCCAGGACTGCCAGCCAAGGGTGGTTCAGAGGGGCGCTGACCTGGAAGTGGGCGTCCCGAGGTGCAAGCATTTGGGCCACCAGGCACCTGCACCAAACTTGAAGGAGGTTTACCGGGAGTGTATCCGCCATGGAGGCGGAAGTTCCTGTTGGGGGGAGCGGGGACGTGGACGATAGGCGATTTGCAGTGTTGGGCCTCACTACCAGGAATGCTTCCAGAAGAATCTTTATGTCAAAGTGATTCTCCTTGAGAGGGAGTGTTGTTCCTCTTCGAGGAAAGGGGACCGAGTGACAGCGGATCACTCGAGCCCGCTGTTTCTGACCATATCGCAGCTCTAGGGCCAGTGTTCTTATGCAGCTCCAGAGAGGCCAGTGCAGTGTACTTTTCACGGCATTGAGAAACCTTGAGCGAGTGCACCCAGGAGCCGCACGAGGTGCCAGGTTGTGAAGATACTGGGCTCACAAGAGTGCAGAATTGTTAGGGAGCGTTACAAACCTGGGGCCAAAAGTGAGTCTGGGCTCTGAGAACACAGGTAGGGAACATTGCTTTCAAGTGTTGTGTTTCATACATTTCATCTGGTGGTAGTTGTGAGTCTGGAACCAAGGGATGGCGCTCCCTCCGTTGCTAGCCTGTACCCGACCAGCAGCTTGGGAGCCATCTGCAGGCTGGAACCCGGGCTGATTCGCTCACTTCCGTTACTTCATCCTTGCAATGGTGCTTCTTCTTCGCCCCCAGCATGCTCTATGTATGTTGGGCCGGAGAAGGGTGGGGATGGGGCAGGGGAGACGCCAAAGGAGTGACCCTGTAGCCTTGCAGAGTTTGGCTCAGTCCCTGAGAGTCAAAAGTCCTTTGAGCTACAGCAGATACAAGGACTGGAGCCCGCCCAGGCATCCAGATACCTGCTGTCGCCAGTGCTGACCCAGGACTGTGTCCATGTGTTGGTTCCGTGGCTGGTCACTCCAGACCCCTACAAGACCTCCCTGACTCCACCGATTCAGGACAGCAGAGCCGCATATGCGGGTACCTGAGAGGTGACCAGGACACTGGAACCATGTGTGGACCATGCAGCAAATTTATCTCCACAAAGTCAGAGCCAACTCACACAGACTACCTGGGCTAACCCCTTTCTCTGCTCATCTTTTGAGTAACTTAGGGTTTCCACTTTCCCCCTTCTCTCTTCTGTCTCTCCCTTCTTCTCCCCTCCCCCTCTTTCCTTTTTCCTCCATCCCTCTCTTTTCTGTTCTGTAGTTTTTCAGGAAAGACATAACCTGAAACAGAAACCCTCAAATACACATTAATCAACTGTGAAGCAATAGAAAAATAACAATTAGGTGAACATCTAAACGTTTTAAAGAGTCAGGTCTTTAAAATTCTCTCCTCAAGGAGATTTATCCATGGCCTCTAGGGGTCTGGAGAGAGGGAGAGGAACAAGGAGAAGGATTGGAGCCTGCTTGCAGGCTCCCACTTCACCAAGGCGCTGGCAGCAGCAGTAGCAGCAGCAGCTATGAGGTGCAGGTACAGAGGGCCACCAAGCATAGCAGCCTTCTCAGCCCAGGAGAGGCAGATCTTTGGATGCTGGCAGTTGCACCTGCAGTCACTTAAAGCAAATGTTTCTTGCTGTTTGCCCCTTGATCTAGGCTGGAGATGGAACTTGCTCCTCACCATCTTTGCTTACCCAGATCCTTCCGGATCTGATCAACAATCTACAAGCTGCCTGCTATTGGCTTGCTCTGTTCAGCTTCCATACCACCTCTGTGAAGTCTACTGCGAGCTTAGCACAGGGCCGCTCCCCAGATGAGGGCAGTCAGGAATAAAGTAGACTGTCCCCCTCAAGCCCCTCACCTGCTCTCCGGGGGTCACTTGTTCCCTTGTTCTCATATGTTCTGGGGAATCAGCCTCTGTGACTCACCCTTCTTACCCCTTCCCCTAAGCTTTCTAACTTCAGGAAGTTCCCACAGAACTTTTCTCAACTGTCTCATCTAGAGATCAAGACTTGTCTTGGACACTGTATTCAAATGAGCGTAGAGCAGCTAAAGCTAGCCCAGTTCTATTAACTCACTGGGCTTGTAGATCATCTCAGGTGAATTCTACTTGTTCTTTTCCCTCCCTCCATTTTCCTGTCTTCCCTCTTCCTTTCCCCATTCCCTCCCTTCCCCTCCCCCCTGTACTTTTCCCCACTCCCCTCAATGGACTCCTCACCTGTAAGTGGTTCAGTTAGCAGCCCCCCTCTCTTTGTGTTTGCCCACGAATTACTGTTTTTTAACCCACAGAAGTCGTTTCAAAGCTACTGAATATAAAGTCATTGAGGTTTCTAATTTAGAATAATTTTTGAGATGACAACTAACAGCTAGGACCTGCGATGTCCCCATGGGCTTAACTGAGCAGACTGGAGCAGGTAGAACACAAGGGCACCTTTACAGAGTCTCACAAGTCACACCATCAAAGGTCCTCTACATGAAAGGAATTGTTCTCAGCCTATATTGTTCCTGGGTGTGAATTAAATAGACTCTTGATAACTGCAGACTCTTCTGTAATAGTGGATTAAATTACAGTACTAGAATATCAAAGCCATGTTTTCTTAAAGTTCTCAAGATCACACACCCCTGGTTCCTATGGCACCCCCACCCCGCCCCACAAAGTAAAGTAACCTCCTGTTGTTTGTCTGACTAGTCTTGCCTCCCAGGAGATTCTAGGAGACGGCCCAGCAGGAGAAATACTGCCTGGGCTTTAGAAGCTACATCCAACTGGCCACTGCTGGTGATGGAAATCTTAATAAGCTTGCCAATCTATTGGTTGCAGCCGGGTCCAGATGAAGGATCTCCAGAATGCCTGAAATGAAGACCCTTGTTCTGCACATTCTTCAGGCAGCTCTCAGAGCATCAGCAAAGACCCCGACAGGCAACATGTTTTCAATCTGAACTTGCTTCCTTACACTCTGGTTAGTTCTCCCTGAAGGCAGCATGCTGCCACACGGCTGCTTGGACACGCTGGACTTAGTTGGTTACAACTACACCCTTGGATTCTGATACATAAATTAGCAACTCAGCCGGGTGTAGTGGCTCACGCCTGTAATTCTAGAATTCCGAAGGCAGAGGCAGAAGGATGAAGAATTCAAGGTCAGCTTCAGTGAGTTCAAGATTAGCCTGGATTGAAACTCTGCAGAGAGAGAGAGAGAGAGAGAGAGAGAGAGAGAGAGAGAGAGAGAGAGAGAGAGAAATCAAGGAAAACTAAAAGGTTGGGTCAAGGACATACATTCTTCATCCTCTCTTTTTCAAAATGCCTAGAGAGAGTGAAAGTGAGCAAAAGCTGTGCAGTGATAACACAGCAGGGAAGATCAGTGTTTGCTTAGGTACACATCTGAGTCCTTTGTGGGGAGTGCCAGGCTAATGATGACAGTGGTGGCGAGACAGCCCGATAGAGATCTCATCTCAGAGCTCTGTCAGCCGCCAGCAACTCCAGTGTGAGAGCTGAGGCTGCCTCTTCTTTGTTTAGCTTACACAGTTGCCTT